TCCCGATCAGCATTCAAGAATAGAATAAGCCAAAGGCTGATGATGAAGTTTCTTATGTCAATGATAGATCCAAATATGAGCTTTGGAATACGCTCATGACAAATTTCAGCCTACCACCAGAGGTGGATCCAAATAACAATGTTATAGAGCAAAATGTCAAGGCGTGGGCTCTTAAGAAGATGGCTGAACAATTCAAGAACTGGAAGAAAAGATTGCACAAAAAGTTTGTCCTAAAAGAGAAGACTCCAACATTCACCGGTCAATATGAGAAGATAAAAGATCACTGGCCCGCATTTGTGGCGTACAAGACATCGGAGAAAGGTAAGAAAAGGTCACAGATAAATAAGCAAAATGCTGTAAATAAGGAATATCACCATGTTACGGGGTCAAGTGGCTATAGGTTGCCTGGCCTAAGTGGTACAAAGCTGAGAACGACCTGCTTGATAAAGGCATCCATCCAGAGACATTGAACTGGCCCGAACAGGACTTGGTTCTTCGGGCATGGGCGAACTTTGCACCCAAAAACAGGGAAGTGTGTTTATACAAAAGCTCACCTTGCAACACCCATCAAAATGATTCAGGAAGCAATCCAGGTCATCCAGGAAGGGAAGTTCCACCCCGACAGACAGAAGGATGAGATGTCACGTGCCCTCGGGAATCCTGAACACCCTGGACAAACACGAGGCACATCAGGCTCCGTTCCGTGGAAGCTACGGTTTCCCGACAATAGTGACACATACAGAAGCCGAGGGAGAAAGAAGAAAGAGGAAGCAGATCGGCTGCAGAAGATAGAATAAATAGTAGCGTTGCAGCAGAAGAAAATAGATGAACTTACCAGCCAGCGAGCTACCGGCTCATAATCCTAGCGGCATGAAGATACTTCATTAGATACTACCCATGGAGGTACCCCATCATCTCAGTGAAAAAGCAGTGTGGCTTCCACGTAGCTCATGCGGCCGCCCATAGATGATATCACGGCTCCTTGCTACCCCGTGGATGATATCACAGAGAAGAAACATTATGATCTATATGCGAAATGCATGAACATAACCTTGAAGGTGGCGGTCGGCTATGCCTTACCTCGTGGACCTGAAGAAACTTACCATTGCTCTCCAATTCCAGATGGCTATGCTGTTGTCGGGGTGGATGAAGTTACCAACGGATTTGAGCAGCTAGAGCTTGAGTACCCTACAGGTGAAGGGGAGAGTCATCTGGGAGATTTCATAAGGACTACCATTCTATGGAGAAAGGAACACATCGTGCTTCCACACTGGACGCTGCATTAGCAGACTCCTCACAGTCAAGCTCTATCTCCGCTGCCTCAGCCGTCTCTGCCGTGTCAGCACACTCGGGGACCTCAATTGTCTCCGCCGCGTCAGCGAACTTCGCCAGAGAAGGCCCCTCAGCAGAATCTGCTGCGTTAGATGACTCCACCTCCTCCGCCGCCTCAGCACCGGCGGAAGAGATCCGCCGCTGCTCCGGTGGCTAGTAGTACAACAACAAAGAAATCCAGAGCATGTAGCGTCAAGAAGGCTCCTGCCAAGTTAGCATACGACATGACTGAGGAGGAAACCAAGGAGTTTGTGGCTGCCGACGTGAAACGCCAGCTTGCGCAGAAACGGCGCGAGCAACAGGAGAAAATAGATCCGGTAAAAGCGAGGCGCTGTCTGAAAAACATTACGAAACCACCGCCGCCTCCGCTGCTATCAGACTATGACTGCTCTATTGTAATGTCATATAGAGATCCACAGCAGCGTTCGGGAAGTACTAGCAGTAGTACAAGGGGAAAACAATTCCCCAGCTCGGCGAACAGAAAAACCGATTGTGCCCCCCGCTCAAGGTGTTTGCCGATATTGCTAATGATCCGGGGGTAGCGGTCGCTGATCCTGGTTTCACTCTTGGTGATTACTTAGGTGATGAGGTACAGTTCGAAATGGCTGAGTTAGCCTTTAGATTCGAGCATGGGAAGCCTCTTGTCAGAGCTGAGGATCTCCCGCATCTACCAACGATGATGCAAAGATTGCATGACTGGTACTTGGAAGCCTCAAAGGCAAGGGGCCGACTATATCATTGCGGGGGTTAAAGATGAGGATTACTTCAATGGAGACGAGGAGATTTAAGTTCAACTTGAAGAATTATTTCAGTTATACAATCAAGACGCCATCGACAAATCTGTCGTCAGTTGCTATTGTTTGTAAGTATCATTTCTGTAATTAGTTCTCTAGCTCAACCCGTTCATTGCATGTATAAGATCCCCGAATGCAAAAGAGGACAAATCTAGGACATTGGATTCATTAACCCAAATACTATTCATGAAACTACGGTAAAATGGAACGCCAAGGATGCAGAGAAGATCTTGCTAAGGGCGTTAATTCAACAACAAACCAAAAGGGAAATACTATTTCCTTACAACTTCCAGTGAGTGTTATACTATCTTGTACACACCATTCTGTTTCGCTTACTCGATGTTAAGTGTAATTGATGAGTTATGCGTGCGCAGGTTCCACTTTATTTTACTAGTCATTCAGCTTGACGCAGGAAAAGTACTTCTTATGGACTCGTTATGTAAAGACATGGAGATGTGGGCGGACCTGAGAAAAATGCTCCAGAGGTAAATTCAATTATTATCGCACTATATCTGCAATTTTCGTTCATTTCCTGATATCAAGTAATTAATAACTTCTTTATTCATTTTCTTTCTCGGGCAGGGTTTGGAAAGAGTTCACCAAAAGAAAGCTAGGGGTGAATGGAGAGAGGAGCTGTGATTTCAACAACTCAGTGTAAGCAGTTCTAGCTAGGTCCGCGCATCTCTTTGATTGTAGTTTCAATACCACTATCATGCTTGATTATTATTTTAAATGAACACTATTCTCGTAAAGTGCTCGAGGCAGGGATCCGGGAATAACTTATGTGGATACTACGCTTGCGAGTTCATTCGCCAGACGACCTCTGAGACGGGCAGATTTTTGGAAAAACTTGAAGTACGTAAACAATATTCACAAAATTATTTTATTATATCAATTGTGTTGAGTATATATATTAATCCCCTTCTTTAAATTAGATCGAATGGAAGCGGGGCGAACTCCTACCAAAGGCTCGCATACGAGCAATTCAAGAGGAATTGGTGGGATTCTTGAAGAGATCATAGCTAAAACCGGAGAATACCATCGAGAATTGGTAGTGAATGTTGGTAATTAGATATTATGGATCGTAAGAGATGTTACATTGTATATATGCATGAACATGTACTATACGTAGTAGCGTCGAATAGATATATGAAAACTTGTTGTTCGACCAAGCATGAAGAAAGAGAGGTCACTTCTCTCTATATTCATGGCGATTTGTGTAATGGTTCCTTCATTGCTATATGTAGTAGCTAGCGTCGAGTTGAATGGAAAACCTAAAATAAAAACGAAAACCCTAATGTAAAAGAATTGAATGGTAAACACAAAAAGAAAAGGGAGAAACACAATATGAAACCCCTAAACCCTCCAAAATCCTAAACCCCTCATTTCAAAAAATAAACACAGCGCTTGGTAGGTGCTGACGCGTGGTTGCCTTTGTTACCAACCGGGACTAAAGATTCTCCTGTCTAGACGCCCGCCAGCGGCCACGTGGAGCTCCTTAAGTCCCGGTTCGTAACACAACCGGGACTATAAGTGGGGGCTTTTAGTCCTGGTTGTAGAAGCGGGACTAAAGGCCCTTAGGAACCAGGACCAATGCCATGTTTTCTACTAGTGGTTGCACCCCGGGAATAGGCGTAGGGATCCTAAACCTCCATGATTCGATGTCTACATCAACATGGAGTAGCATAGCACCAACTGTTTGTATCACGGGGAAAATGTTCTTCAAACCTCCTTGTGTCTGCAATCTCCTAATCCTACCTCTTATTTATGCAAGTTTCAATTTTGTCTCCTCACTCTTGTAGGTTTGCATGTAGAAAGTCTTAGACAACCGCTAGCTAAGTTTAAAATTTGCCAATAACTTAAAATTGAGAAGAAAAAATCTCCTAGGTTTTGCTTGTAGTCTATTAACCCTCCTCTAGACATACTAAATGATATCGACGTCCGGCGTCGGTGCACACTCGTAAGCTGGCTCACCCTCTGTTCAAGCCTTGTGGACTTGGAGCAACCACACGTAACCGATTCCATTTGTGAAGAGATTCATGGCCGGATGATGCGTGCATGCCCACAGAGAGAGGCTGGGAGGGTACGAAGGCGAGCTGGAAAGTTAATGATGTACACCTCTCACCACCAATCGAACGCTAACAGTAGTTCATCATGGACATTCCCATTAATCCAGATCGTGCATGGTGGCCCAGCCTGCATGCGATGCGAGGATGGACTACACTAGACGCATAGGTCGCCCCATGCCATGCATCTTGAAAGATGAACCGCCCCACACGCAGCACTGAAGATGATTGCCATTCGATCAGTTTCAGGACCAGAACCTGTCCAAGGGCGATGCTTGCATCCATCTGCCAACTGCCATGCTGGATTGATGCTGATCGATAGCTACTTACTATTATAACTGTTGTTGCTGCATATAAGAACTTAAAGCTGAGAAAAATCACGCTCTAGCTAAGCTAGAACTCTGAAGTTTCTTGTACTTACAGTGAGGATATACTGCAGTGGTTCTGTAACAAGAACAATTGGTAATTAAGATCTAAAGTTCTAAACTGATTTGATTTTTTGCTGTGATCTGTTGTATTTTTACCTTTCTAGGCAACTGATCTGTCAACGACTCGCAGCAGGAATTCAGTCTCGTCCCAACTGAGAAGGGCAGAGGTAACTGTCCAGCATGGATGGATATGTACATTAAACTTGCTATATTACACATAATCTATCTATGTATATTCCAATTTCGCCGAAAACTGATGTGACCTGCTCGCATGAGGGATTGAGGGTATCCAGAAAGAGAAGCAAAATAAGCGTCTGTTTGGGTCGCTGCATTGGAGTTGCTACTATACGGAAGACAAAGCACTGATCTCTTTACTTTGTTCACTTCATTCTCACTAGGAAAATGCTCAGCTCCGGTGCGCTGCCGTCGTCGTCGCCGCCACCGTCGCCTCCAACGCCACCCTCGTGGGGGTTGATCATGTAGAACGCCTCGGAGTCCTTGGAGCCGACGACGCGCTCGACGCGGGCGCGCACGTACGTGAGCTCCCCGTCGGGCCCCGCGGGCACGCCGCCGTCCTTCTCGGGCGCGGCCGGCAGCACGCCGGCGCCCATGGAGACGCCGCGGAGCAGGCGCATGACGTGGCGCTCGTCGTCGGAGGCGTCCTTGCGGCGGATGGAGTAGCCGGCCTTGCGGCCGTTGCAGAAGACGGCCCACACGTACTCCTCCACGAGCCGGCGGCGCGCGCTGCGGGTGTCGCTCTCCAGCGCGAGCTTGACCACCCCGGACGCGATCTCCTTGTGCAGCGCGCTGGTGAGCATGGGCAGCTCGATGAGGAACACCGGCGGCGCGCGGGTGTCCTCGTGGATGGCCAGGCTGACGCGGCCGCGCCGGTGGCCGAAGAGCGTCACCGTCGTCGCGTGGTCCGCGAGGAGCGCCCTGCTGTTGTGCCGGCCCAGCAGCGCCACCATCTTGCACCCCGACGAGAGCATCGGCATGAGCTTGAACATCTTGAAGATCCCTCCTCCATGCCCGCCTCCTTTGCCGCCGCCGCCGCCGCCACCGGCGCTGTCTGGGGTCTTGGTCCGGCGCCCGTTTGTGGACGGCCGGAGCAGCGACCGGAGACTGGGGCCGTCGATGAAAGACGGCATCGACGAGTGAGATAGAACCTGTACTTGGCGATCGAGTTGGTGCAGCGAGGCTTTTTTCTTAAGCAAAGGGGCTTCCCTTGTCGTGCGGATATATAGCCAGCCGGCCAGCCATAGGGACGAGGGAAAGAAGTTGGCTCGTCGTTATTGCGCTGTGTACCGTACCATCGTGGAGCCTGATCGAACTCATCGTTTACCTGCTGCTGCTTGGATCGGTCCGGGCGTCCCCTCTGCATCTGAGCGTGACCTGACATGCATTTCCATATAGTTCGATCCGTGCTCCTTGTACAATTCTTAGGTACACTTATGTTGTACTGACTACCGTCCACTGGGTACTCCCTCCGTTCGGGGTTAGCTGTCGCTGAAATGGGTGTATCTAAATGGATATTGTACTATATATAGTTGCTACCACAGAGTCGAGATGGATGACCCAGCGGATCATGAGTTACCGCCGATGATGTTTGATGCTCGCATATCACCGCCAGCACACCCACCGGCCCGGGAGATCTCCAAGCCGTTGGTGGTACCGCCACGTTTCGCTGATGACATGGACGAGGAAAGGAAGGGGCAGGAGGCCCTCACTTCCGTCTCTTC